ACCGTGGGTTCCTCCCTTGCGTGACAACCCAGCATGCGCCAGCGGACATCTGCTGAGGGAGCGTGATGAAGTCTTCATAAGCACAGAAGGTGGCGTTAAGTTTTTTGTATTTTATGATGAACTCTGTCAGCAGAAGAAGTTGGGGAGGGAGGTGTCAGATTGTCTTGCTTTTGTAGGTCAAAAACATGTTTTTCAGAGGTTTAGGAGTCCTGATAATTTAAAGTTTAGGGGTTTTAATGTCTTTAGGCCATTATACTGTTCTTTTGCTTTATAAGGACATGAAGCAAGACAGGGTTAACTCTTATCTGAAGACATTTTTACATATCTGAACCACAAGGTTTGTTGTGCTGTCAAAGAAGGGCATCGGATGAGTTTGACACAATTTGTTCTCAGCTTGCCTGTTTTGTCTGTCTCATATCAATTTTTTACCCTCTATGCACTTAACAAATGCTTTTTTGGTATCTTTCTTGGAGTTGAAATTAGGCTTTCATATTGGTTTGATAGGAATCCACAATGAATCTGAGGTGAATCTGGGGTGAACAGCTGTCTTGTTATCTAAGTTCATGTTTACTGTTGCTAACCTTTTCTTTTTCTGCTCTTATGGTTTTGTCACTACTGCTAACTTAATAATGTCCACAATCTATTTTTTTTTTTCCTTCAGGAAAGCGCTAAAAGAATTAGATTATTGAATTTGTCATCAAAAGATAATAAGACTGCTTTCTATGGAATAAATGAGTTTTCTCACCTGTTTCCTGAGGAGTTCAAAGGTACATTTTCTGGCTGCTGCTGCTAATGCCTTTTCTGTTATTTTTCTTATTCTTTCCCAGAACCCTGTGTCTTTCACATTTACAGATTCTTCCAGTGCTGATAGTCAGCTAGTTTACAATGTCTGGTACCAAACTGTAAGTACTTCTGAAGGATACAACAATCTTCTTCATGTTTCTCTAGTCTTGCAAGGTTGAATTGCCCAGAGCCTGAATATGATTTAGTATACAGACTGTTCCTTCTTTTCTTTCCTTCTTTCCTTCTTTCTTCTCACTGGGCCTTAAAGCCTTCTTCAGTTTCAACAGTTTTAAAATTGGAAAATACACAAGGTTCTCGAGTAGTCTTAAGTTGCTGTTCCCTACCCCAAGACAAAATTGACTACAATCCAAACAATGCTTGGAGGTCCACAGCTGTACAATGATAGCTACGACTTTCAGGAGCAATATGACACACTTAATTTTTATTACTAAGAAAATTTTTCTGATACGTAACCTAATCTTCCTTTCTTGCTGTTCAAGTCTGCTGTTATCTGTTCTATTCATTGGGGGATTTCACACCTTTTTTAATTTTCAATAATTAAGCAGCTTTTTTTAATGAAAAACTATCAATTTGCATGTGTTTCAGAATCTTTACATTATTCTCCTCTTATTTTTCCCCATCGCCTGACTAAAATAAAGTAATATTTTTCCAGTAAATAAAATCTTGTGAAATTTTTCAAACAAAACTTGTTTTATGGCATGATTATTGATGAGCTTTAGTAAATCTTCACACTTTGTACCCACATTCCCTACATGGAATATTTCTGTTCTTTCTAGAACTGTAGGGATATTTACATTCATTCTGGAGTATAATGATTATTTTAAAGTACATGAATTTTCTATGGATTTGGGAACGAGATGTAATCTCATGATTGTAACTACAGATCAAAGTTACCTCTGGCTTCTAGTAAAACAGTTGTTTGTGGGGTTTTTTTAGTTAGTAGATTTATAGATGTTTGTATTCTGTGTTTAGCTATTTACTTAAGAAGCATACCTCACAAACTTCCCAGATACATAAAAGTGCCAAAGGGAAAGGAAAAACCTTTGCCAAAGAAGTTTGACTGGAGGGACAAGAAAGTCATTGCAGAAGTGAGAAATCAGCAAACAGTAAGTCCTGGTGTTTTCCTTTCCGGGTTCTCAAGCATTGCTCAGAGGCAGTTCCAGCAGGTATGTTGTAGAGCACAGTGAAGGTTTTGGAAGGGACCAGCACTGCCTCAAGACTCCTTGGAGCACTGGCACAAGTATGGCTGGTTGAACATATACCAAGTCAGGTAGCATTTTATGCAAAGTGGGATTAGGCTTAAAAGTGTGAGATGTAAAAGTTGTGCATTTAGAAATTGTGCAATTATAAACTGTGTGTAATACATTTTTTGATCTAGTTAACTAAACCTGCAAATATTTTGCACCATGTGAGTTTTATGGTTTTCTGAAGAGACTGGGGTAAGTTCAGTACCTGACCTCATCCCCCCATTTCACCTGTATGGGTATAGATCCTTTGCTGTTGTTTTCTCTCATGATTGAATGCCCTCGGCTGGTCAACACCCATGTCTTTACCATTGAACACCTCAGGGGATGCGTTCATGATAGGAAGATAACCAAACCCCACATGATTACAGTTTATCCGAAAGAAAGTGGTTATGGTCACTGGTAAGAAGCAAACAAGCTGTTAAATCCCCAATGTCTTTCCTTTCTGTGCTTCACATAGTGTAACCTGGACCTTGCCTAGGAGTAAATTCTGCTTCCTATTTTAAATGCCAGTTTAAAGAGCCTAAAACTGTAGTATAGATTCTGTTACTGTCTAAGAATTTTTCTATTATGTTTAATTTCAGTTTATTGTTTCTTAAACTGTAATCTAACATATTTCTATAAAATTCTTCAGACTGTAGAAAGTTGTAGGCTGTCTCCTTAAGTGCATCCTTTTCAAAAACTTACTAACTAATGTGGTTAAAAAATAATTTAATCCTGAGCCCCAATCCTTCTTCAAGAAAATAGATACTGCACAGTAAAAAGCATCCTCAGACCTATCTTAAAGGGCAAAAATTAATCAGGAAGGAATCCTTAAAATAAGGCAACGACGATGCAGGAATCCTTAAAAGAAGACATCCGTAATGCATTTCTAGCTTTCAGAGAGCAGTACAGGGGAAAAAACTGTTCAATATTTTAAATGGCTTGATTAAATTTCTTTATTGTTGCCTTAAAAATGAAGTTCAAGGATGATGTAGTAAATGAAGAGCATCAGAAGACCCTTTTGACTTTTTTTCTTTTATCAGGCTTCAAAAACAAAGCTGACTTCTTCTTTCTCCCGTTTCCCGTCTCTTTGTACCAGTGTGGAGGCTGCTGGGCTTTCAGCGTTGTGGGTGGTATAGAGTCTGCCTATGCAATTAAAGGAAATAACCTGGAAGAACTCAGCGTACAGCAGGTTATTGACTGTTCATACAATAATTACGGCTGCAGCGGGGGATCCACTGTTAGTGCTTTGAGCTGGCTGAACCAGGTTGGAAACTTTTCATAAATCTCAAACCCTTCCTTAGCTTTCATATTGACATTCTTTTTTACTGGGAAAAAGTGATGGGGAAGGTGGAGTGTACAGCTCATCTGATTTTTTTTGGTATGTGTGTGTATGTATGTATATATGCACATACATATGTGTGTGTATATATGTATGCATATTTATTTAGTCTGGAATCAAGAGAGTTTGTTCAAGCAGAATTGAAACTTGATTCGAATTTTATGTTCTATATATGTTCTTGTGAATGTAACAAGTCAACCCACAAGGGTTGAAAGTAATGTTTTCTTGAAAGCTACAGTATTTCCACTGGAATCAGTTGGAACTGCAGACATACAGTACCAGTACAGAAGGACCATTTATCCACATGTCATTTTGTGGATTTGAGTGTCCAGTTTAGGCACCAGCACCTGGGGAAGAGAAGGGATGCTGAGATTTTCTGCTTTCAAATTTCTGTGGTTTCTGTTGCAAACACTGTAAAATCATGCAGGACCCTGGAGCACCTCAGGATAAAATTGACTGCATTTACCTTTGTTTCACTTGCAACCCAGAACAATGAAAATGCAGACATAATTTCAAAAAGAAATTCTACTTCAGTTGTAGCTAACACATTTCGTTCATGAAAAACACAAATATTGTTAATATATGTAAGCAGAAACATTTTAATATCTTCAAAATAAAAAGTATTCTCTAGGACAACAGTTTGAGTTATAGGAATATAAAAAGGATTTCTTAGGTTTGTGAAGTTTAAAAACAAAAGCTGATTGTCCTTTTTAAGGAACTCTGTAATTCTACCCCTGAAGATTCATATAACCCCGGCTAATAACAGTCTAGATAACTTGTTCAAGTTTGCATTTGAAGAAGGACGGAGGTTATTCATCTGGATTCCTCTGAAGCAAAATTCCCTCTTGCTTGGCAACAGAGGGACTACAAATGAATTAGACTGGAGAAGGCACTGTCATAAACATGCTGTACTGCAGAACACAAGAAAAGTGCAAAAGGTTGATGCAATACCTTTGTAGCTGGACTTGGAACTGTGGCAGCCATTATAGTGCATTATATACTGGCATGAGGATTTGATGCTAATAGCAGAATTGGACTTAATTTCAATATTTTATAGAACTGTTCTTTTCTTTGGTGAAACACTGGCACAGGTTTCCCAGAGAGGTGGTGGATGCCCCATCCCTGGAAACATTCCAGGTCAGGTTGGACGGGGCTCTGAGCAACCTGATCTAGTTGAAGATGTCCCTGTCCACGGCAGGGGGGTTGGACTAGATGACCTTTAAAGGTCCCTTCCAACCCAAACTATTCTATGATTCTATGATTCTATGATATTTGTGGTTCTTGAACTGTCCCAAGGAGAGGATAATTTTGAAGAGAATGAATGGTCATTCATTAAATGAATGCATAGTCTCTGTCTTGAAATTGATGAGATTGCTCATGAGGCTAGTTTAAACCAGAGTTACCTTTTAAATTTTGTTCATTATTTAAACACTTCTTAATCCCTTCTGAAGCTTTCTGTGCCAACAGGGAAACTAGAGATAGTAAATATCTTATTTCCCAAAATGACATTCTTATTTCTAATCTCACCAAGAACACTGAATTTTGAGTGAGTTCTGTGGTCAGTTGCAATGTCTGTTTTGATATGTATAGCATTAATGCATTAAATTCTCATTCGTTTATCTTGTTGCAGACAAAAGTAAAACTTGTGAGAGATTCAGAATACACTTTTAAAGCTCAGACAGGACTGTGCCATTATTTTGGTCACTCAGATTTTGGAGTTTCAATAACAGGATTTGCTGCATATGACTTCAGGTAGCTGCTATTGATTCGTTTTATTTGCTGTACTTTTCCTTCTGTGTTCACTAACTGTGGAGTAAGCTAGAGCCAATAGTGCATTGACCAGCCAAAGGTTATGACGTTGATTGCATCGGTTCTGTAGCTGTGTACTGGATAAGAATTAATACATAACATTTTTTAGGGTTATGGCTTGCCACAATGAATCCACTCAACCATACCGTCACTAAGCTTGTTCAAATTAGAAAGTTTAAGTCAGTGTCTTGAAATTTGGTCTTTCCAGTTGGCTGTGTTTAAATTGGAACATTGAGTCTGATACAATTTTAAATATATTCTAAGTGAACATTACATTGCTTAAGTATTAGAAAGAGTAAATTCTACCAATAATAATTGGAATTTGTTGAAAAATGTAGGAAGTATCCAGTAACTTCAGTATTCATCCATTTACATACCCACCCACATCCTCCTCCAGTCCATGACTTAGCAAACAGTGTTGTCAACTGAATTTTGTAAAGACAACTGGTAGCTTTTTAGGTTTCTGTGCCAAGAAAGTTTGTTTCTGGTTTTTATCAGTACAATGCAGCTGCGTACTGAACTTCAAGACAAGAAATATAATTTTGACTAGGAACTGAATTACTGCCAGATATAAGTAACTAAAATCAGTTATAGCTTTGCTAGTCTGTATTTGCCAAGTTTAGTTATTGCACATACCATGCAGTGATAAAGCTTTCCTGTTCCAGTATATTACATAAGTAAAACTGTATGAGGATGCTAATGGTAAAGTCTGATAGTGGTAATGTCCTGTGTTTTGATATGTTTGAGATACATATTTTAGTGTATTATTATGTATGATGTAAGAGGTACTTCTGCATGTTTGAAAAACTAAGGGGAAATAATAATATAGACTAATGTTTTGTCCAAAGGTGGTTTTTAATTGAGCCATGTATGAAAGGTACATAGTGCTCACCGTTGCCCACTGACTTGACCGAGAAACCTGCTTCTTTTTAATAGCATCATATCTTTGGATCTGCACCTTTCCCATAGTCTGTGTGCCCTATATTTGTAATACTGTGCTGTAGTATATGACATACATATTTATTGATGTGTGTTATGTGGTGTGTAGCACTCATAAGAAACAGTTGAATTGTTTGATTTTAAAATTGTACTTAACAAGTAGATTACCACCTCTCAAATTGCTTTAGCGTGCTAACTTAAGTCACTTGCTTCTCTCACAGCGGTCAGGAAGAAGAAATGATGAGGATGCTTGTTAACTGGGGCCCTTTGGCAGTAACAGTAGATGCGGTTAGCTGGCAGGATTATCTTGGTGGGATCATACAGTATCACTGCTCCAGTGGAAGAGCAAATCATGCTGTTCTAATCACTGGTTTTGACAGAACAGGTGCGTTTCCATCAACTGAACTTCAACCCAGTAGGTTTTGTGTTTTTTGTCTTACTTGCAACTTGCCTCCTGTGGGGCAGGTGATTAAAATTCACAACTGGGTGTTCTGTTGAGAGCTGTTTGGTTTGATGTCACATCAGTTCTGGAAGTGCAGTCTGATCCCGGGAGGAATACCCTTCTTGTCTGTGCTCCTTCAGTTCTGTGGGACTTCATGTCCCTGTAAAGTCATGGACACGGCTATATGTGTCTTTATGCTAGCAGAGGATATATCCAGTCTGTTCAACACTGGACTGTTAGCTCTGTCCTCGATGTGAACAGCGGTAGGTTTCACTGTACTATACCATCAAACCATCATAAACTATGAGATATTAAAATGATAATTAACTCTGTAGAGTGCTAGAAGTTTTTTATGCTTCCCACTTCTCATGTTGTCTCTCGTTCACGAAAATGTCTCTTCCAGGTAGTATCCCTTACTGGATTGTACAGAACTCTTGGGGGTCCACATGGGGAATAGATGGCTATGTTCGTGTTAAGATAGGCGGCAATGTCTGTGGTAAGTCTGACAAAAAATAATTAAAGTGTCAAAGGCCACACAGTGGGACATGTTTCTCCATGTAAGTAAAGCAATATAATGGGATCCTCAGAGAGGAAATAAAAATCATTGCTATGTTTTAAAAGAGGTTAGATGAGTCCAGGTGGAAAAATAAATAAAGTGGTTGCTAGTTCAACCAAGCCATATAGTTGAATGACTGAAAAACACCATGCAAAGGTAAAGCTATATAAGGCATAACAAATAAAGTGCTATTGTACCTTACCACGTAGAGGTAATGGCACTGTAAAGTATAGAGTCATGTATCACGGTTCTAGGTTAGCACCATCGCTATACTCAGTGTAGGTAAAACAGCTGCTGTCCTTGTCTGGTGGGTGCAATTATCTCTGGGCTCAGTTTAGCAAACAAATACGGAATGTGGATCTGCCTGTGCTTGGGAATTGTGTACCCTGCTTGTGGCTTTTCTTGTAGGACAGAGGTATATACTGTTATTGCCAGTTCCATCTCCGCCCTCTTACCATTTGCATGAGGTTTTTCTTGGTGTTTGAGGGGGGTTTGTAGTGTTAAATACCCAGTTTCTTCTGAGGTGCTGGATATGGAGGTAAGGGAGGTGAAGCTCCTGTTTACCAGCAAAGATTGCTGAGCCAAATTGCTGGGGTTGGACTACTAGATAGTAAGACTTGTGTGTCCATTGAATTTTTGTCTGCTAGATTAACCCTGTAGGTCTTCTGTTGGCTTTCCCTTCCATGTATGTTTCACAGTAGCTCCCACAGTCATTGTAAAAGGTGTTAGATGATGTAAATCATCTGCAAATAAGAATAGATAATATTCAGTTTGCCTGCACTCAGTAAAGGTCAGGACAATGTATCCGATCGTAGCTTTTCCGTGTTGCTGAAACTTTTGTTCTTATTGTTGTTGTATAAACAAACTATTTGGAAAGAGAAATTTAGAAGTAGTGATAATTAAAGCAAGTCAATTGTGGAAGTGGTCAGGAAGAACAGCTGTGTTATTTTCAAAATCCATTCTCTCAAAAAGCAGGATCTTTCACATTTTCTGTAGCGTGTCCCACAAGAACAAGCCAGCAAAGGCCAGTAGTTGCTCTGTTTCCCCCACAGATGTTGCCTTCTGATTTAGAGGTGCGCTGACACCACTTTTGAGGGTATGAGAGCCATCACCCTTTGATACCTTCACAGGCTGTAGTCAGGCTTTGCTTTTAGTGCTGGAAGGAGTACAACAATGCAAAAAGAACTGAGCATGAACAAAAGCTTAGTTTGCCCTGTGTTTGTGTGTGTATGAGTGTTCAAAACTGTGTCTTGTAATGGAATTTGTGATCTCTAGTCTCTTGGTGAGCTTTCAAAGCCATATAGCTTCATATTGTCTATCCATCGCTAATGAATATGATTAAAAGGGAAGAGGATATCAAGGTTTAGATTGCTTTTCAGCACCCAGATTGGACCAATGCTGAATCCTCAAAGAGGATCTAAAGTTTCAGACATGAAAGCAGAGGAGGGAGGAGTGTAGAGCACAGCTATAAATAATGTCAAGCAATGAAGAAAAAAGGGTTGCAGCTGATTCTCTGCCCGCCCTCCACAACCCCAGCAGTTCACCTTCTGTCATGGCACGGAGGAGAGAGGGCATGGTATGAAGTGAATTCTGGGAACTTATTTCTGGCAAGTCTCCACTTCCAGTATTTATTAAAAACAATTTTTTGTTTCATTTGTAGGTATAGCAGATACAGTTTCGTCAGTATTTGTTTGACACTTACTGGCCAAAGACCACGATCATCGTTTGGATAGTAGTTTGGCACACACTTTATGTGAAGATTTGCTTCAACATTTTCTAAAATAAGAAATGACTGTAAGGGCATTTTCTGCTTTTAGGCAGTACAGGAATGGGTTGGCTGGAGTTTTTAGAAGTCTTTTTATTTGGAATGTGTGTTGCATATCAAATCTCTCATGGAATAAGAAGACTCGGAATCAACTGCAGAGTACACAAAAAGAAGTTACAAAGATGGACTGAAACTGTGAATGTGAACTCTATCCAGGTGTTGAATACTACTCCATACAAGGAAAGAAGTGCTGAAAAATGATAAGGAATTTGGATCAAATAATCAATAGTATGACAATATAAACAAAATGCTTTGAATGTAAGAAGAACCATGATTAGATCTGCTTTTATTGGGCGGGGAGGAAGGGCAGTTGGAAGAAAATATTCTCTCTGTTTTGCTTTGATATCTGTCTTGGCTTTTCTCGCACCTCTGACAGACACACACATTTTGACTTCCTCCTTTTTGTGAAATCCTACTTTTTCTCTATGGCTAGAATAATAGAAGAGGGAAATGGAGAGTCAAAGTTGTTTCCTGAGCACCCACTGTCTCTGAAGTGCTGCAGTCCTTCAAATTCGGTCTTCAACCTTTATTGGGTAAAAATAACTTCAGAGCTCTTCAGAGCAGGGAGTGTGTTTTGGAAAGTGCCTGAAATATCACAGTCTTCTGGATTAATTTGTTAGATGGATAGAAAAGTGAGAAGTAACTATGTAGACAAACCAAGGCAGTTCTAGTGGTTTAACATCCTGTGTCCTGGCAGGATATATGCGTTTGCAAGTCAGCCTTTCCGTGCTTTGAGAGCTGTGTCAGTTCCATGCCTTCTCTCTTCTCTACTTCACAACTAACAATGAAGCCAGTTGCAAAGCAGAAATTAAAAAACTCATTCTAGAAAAAATTGTGAGGGTGGGGGTTGCTAAAATATATTTGCCACCTTTAGAAAGTCAGCAATTACAGAATATTCCAAATAGAGTGGCTGGTGAATTTTTCTACATTAATTGAATTCGTAGGTGGGACTTGCTGGGAATCAAAAGGCGGTTCCAGCTTTGTTGACCTGTAAAACTGCACTTGCAGGCAAATGTAACTAGAATTCACAACCAAACATGTAATTCTAACATGCTCTGATCTTTCGTCTGGAATGCTTTACCTGTAATCTTTTATGAAGCACTGCTATGGAAAGTATTGAAGCAGTTTGCACTCGATTACTGTACCATGGTAATAGATCAGTGTATTATTATCTTTTTATGACAAACGCAATCGTAATTGTCTATTGTTAGTATTATCATTTTAGTCCTTCTACTTCTAAGTGTTAATACTTTAAATGAAAGGAAGACCAAGTGCTACGTTTCACTATTTCAGGTTCTGCTACTTACTGAATTTACTGGCTGAAAACTTCAGATAAACAAAAGGCGAAGTCTTCTGTAGTCTTATAGTCTCCTGTAGTGTGGCCTTCCCTTAGCAGTTTACGAACAGCAAATAGCACACTTTCGTAACTGGAAAACAATAGCCAAAGTTCCTAATTGGCATTGATAAGAGTAATGTTGTTATAGTAGTATCAAACACAGACGTTCCACCGGTTTTTGAGGTGGTACTATCAGGCATAAGTACCTAAAGCGCTAAGATACAGAGCAACTCAGCAGAAATTGGGGCCTACGGCATATGCATATTTCCGAGGGAAGCATTTAAAAAGACAAGAGTCCATCTAATGAGAAGGCGACACAGCTTTATCAATATTCTATGACCAAATTTGCCTTGCTTTTATTATTTTATCCTTATTTGAATGATATTTTGAATAAAAAACACTTTAAATGCCTGTCATAATGTTGTTTGAACTTTACGCTTGCTGTAGAAGAAGTCTTAACAAAAGAAGAGCTTTAATACTGCTTTATTTGAAGTACAAAGTAAGTACTTATTTATATCTGCTGTTCTTAACGGTAAGTATTTCTACTGAAGGGATTTACATTCACGTGTAACAACACATAGATAGCAACGTTATTCCTGGTGTATGTAAAAGTTCAAGAGGCTTGGGTGTCTATAGATTCAGGACTTAATATTTTTTTTAATCTAGCTTTTGAAACTCTTAACCCGAAATTCCTTTTGAAATTCCACTAGAGCTCAGAAACTAATGTTCTTCTGAAGGTGATGAGACTAATTACGTCCTCAACTAGAAGTAAATTACTAACAGCCATTAGCCAAACAAACAAATACAAAAATATGTACAAGTAAGACATGATCATGATAATTCTGTATAATTTGCTCCCTCTCTCTAGGTGTAGGTTTTAAGAAGCCAACTAAGAGTTAAATTGGTCATCGAGTTGAATTGGAGTATCATTTTAGTCTTAATACAGGCTAACGCGATACAGATTATTTTTTCTACAAACAATTAAGTTTCTTCCAGAAACCGATCGTACTATTCACATAGCTGTCATACATAAATACATATTTACACACCCACACTGTGAGAGAATAGCTGTTATATTTGAGGGGTAGCACCACTCGAGGTGAACATCCTGAAGTTCTTCACAGCAACCGGTCTAGAAAGGCAGGCTAGTCAGAGTCGTCGCTGCTAAAGTAGGAGCTGTCGCAGTATTCTGCCGTATACAGGAATTTATGAATGGTTGGGTTCATCTTTGGTATCCAGTGTCTTGGCACTAGAAACGTTGAAAGATTGAACAAATCCACAAACACCTTGTATCTGTCACTGAAAAAGACAATCGCGAACAATTGATACTGCTATATTGGCATAGAAGGCCATAATTTCAAAATTCTCAGGAATCGTTCCATCTCATTTATTTAATAAGGTTTCTGCACTAACCCTCCCCCTGAATATTCCAGAGTAAGAATCCAATCCTAACTGTTTCTAGGGCATAGCAGAGTAGACTTTCAAAGGAAATATGGTTGCTATAGTCACACCTTTCTTCTGAAAATGCAGAGTATGTAGGCTATAATCTCCAGACCGCCACTCTTGTGGTAGATATGAAGTAGAATTTATCTAGGAAGAACGTTAACCTGAAATGAAGGAAGAGTGAGAAGGCTTGCTGAAGAAGATAGCGAGCCTTTAATCTTTGAATTCAGTCTAACCACCTGCTTTCTATTCCACCCTCCGTTACGATGGTTGTGATGGGACTCATTGCCCACAGCCATACGTGGCAGCTACCAGCTACGTACAGTTTCTCTTTGAAAACAAACCTCAAGGAAGGTCCTCTTAGAAGGGGACGTTTTAAATATCCTTGTGCTTTTTGACATAATGTGGTTCAGGACTGTCAGGACGTAGTTGCAGCTAAAGAGCTTCAATTGTCTTAACTAGCTGAATCCTCAAATTTGGTGTAAAAATGTTCTGCCCGTTCAGAGAGTTCTGTGCTCAGGCCCTGACCATCCCTTTTAAGTTCCTTTTCTGCTTCATCCGACAGAAGGAAACACGTTTCTGATTGTTGCTTGCACAGCTTGAGAGTATTAATTACTATCACCTTTAAGAATATATTCAGTCCTAAATGGAAGTACCTTAGGTTATATGATTAGAGCTCATGCTAAGGAATAAAGAAACTGTCATCGGTCGCACAGTAGACGGGACTCACTTCCAGCCTGTATCACCTCATTAACTTGGGCTAGCTCGCACGCAAACTAAGCAATGCAGGATTCATGTTATTGCTATTACAGTAACGCCTAGATCCCGTGACTGATAATTATGAATGGCACTTTGCATGAGTAATCAAAAGGAGTTCTTTTTGCCCCAAAAGGCTTGCAATTTATATATGTCAACCTGATAAGTCAATGTTCATCAGCCAGGAGGAAATGCTAGAGTCCCAAAAGAGAATCAACAGCCCTCTGGCCTCCAATGAGCCGTCTGAAATCTGTCTCCCGGCAGGACGGTGCCTACAAACTGCGTTATTGCAGGAAATGGGGGAAACGCGTTATTCTTACCTCACTGTGGAGCGCAAATACTGGTAGCCTGATGAGCCTCCGGTGCCAGCCTTGCTGCCAATCATTCTGTGCACCATGCAGACATGGTTATCTATGTAATACCAGAGAAGGACATGGCATATGTTCAGTGTTAAGGTATAACCAAACGGTCACAACAAGGTGCATCAGTGAAATATTAAAGATCATACAGAGACCTTTACAGACATACAGAACTACTAGGTCTTCAGCAATGCAGGAGTTAATTCTGCCACTCGTCAGTCAACTGATGTAAAATTATTGTTAATATGGAATGAATACACTAATTATTATACATTATTATGCTCTGTTAATACAGAATTAATACATTCATTTATGGATGTCTAAATAGGGAAGGAGCAGAAGGAATGAAGAGTTGTCATTATGATGTTTTGGCATCATAATGCCAGCTATGGAAAATATATACCTGTCCCTTAAATAAAATTTTTCACCTAACTTAAAGCATGTCGTAGAAGTGATAGCTATACCTATGTATCTAATGATCACGGAGGAAGCTGTTCATCTTTCCTCTTGGCTGACATACAAACAAAAAAAAGTCATTCCTAAAGGATGAACTCAGAAGCTCAATTCTAAAACTCTGGGTATAACTTGTCTAGAAGAGGGTGAAACAGAACAGTTTACTTGCATCTAAAGGAGGGAGTGTCACAGTCAAAAAGTGAAACTCACATCTCCATTTCGTCATGAGCACATCGATATCCATAAGGGAGGTAAGAAGCTGAAAGGGAACCTGAAAACGAGGCTCCTCCCTTGGAAAATGAAAGAGAAGACAGTAAGACCTCTTATGATAGGCTGTATTTTTCAAAGTATTGCTTCACCAATGCATAACAGTGACAATGTATATTTTTCCTAAATTGGTATTGAAACATCAGTAGATACTCTAACAAATGCTTCTGCCAGGTAAGTCTCGACCTGTGCCTTTTCCCTCATACTTGGAAAAATACTCTAAATCTTTCTAGGACACTTTGTACAACAGTTTGAACAAGGCATTTGCTAGTTTCAATCTGAGGAGCGGCACCTGGCCAGACACGAACCGGCTGCCCAGAGAGGCTGTGTAATCTCCATCCT